TAAATCCCGAGTGTGTAGCGAGAACGTAAACGAACGACGAAATATTTACGCAACGAAAACAATTATCAAGATCTACGTGGAACAGCTAGCATACTAAGCAGGCCTCACCGTGCGCCGCGGGGTCGCCACACACGCACGCGTTCGTCTTGCCTGGTGGAGAACGTCGATTCGTCTGAAAAGACGGCCCGGCCCCAGTAATCCGTCGTCCACGACGCATGTCCCATCGCAAAGCAGAGCCTCGCTTCCTTGTTTGAAGGAGATAGCAGGGGCTTCTGCGCTGCCATGGCGCTATGCAGGCCGGCGCTTGCCAACCTCCGACGAATTGTCACGTCCGAAACGTCCAATTCCAGCTCCTCTCTGATTTCCCTGGCCGAAAGAAAGGGGCCCTCGACGACAGTGGCAATAATGTAACGATCCTGATCCTCGGTCGTCGCTCTCGGGGGAGTCCCTCGAGGTGCGTCGTGGATCCGGCCTGCATAACGGAAAGCTTGAACGATCCTATTAACCGTCTTTTGAGGCCTTTTTACAAGGGCCCCGATGGCCCGCTGCGAGTGCCCTTTCTGGGAGAGCTCGATGATCGATCACCTCTTCGCCTCTGGAACTCTGGCCATGACGAGGTGCAGCAATCGTTCTGACAGCAATGCAAAGGCGCCTAAATTTATCAAGCACACCGCATGCGGGGGAGGGGGCCTCGAATATTTTTTAATAAAATATAAGAAACCAAAAAGGTATGATACTGTATCATGCATCAAAATATTCGCATGCTTGTCGCATGCCCGTGGGCTGATAAGTTCATCTACACGCATTTTAACCCCTGCGCTTCCATGCGGCTTGCTTCGCGTAGAAGACGACGCCCGTAGCAGATGACGCGCGAGCGCTCCGATGACGCAATGCGCGTGTTGAGAGCATATTCACTCAGCAGGCGCGATGCGCATGCGCTGAAACTTGCGCGCCGGGCCGTTAGGCTGCTCTGATAGTACCCGCTGCCACGCGCTCCGGCGTTCCCGCTAACTGTGATCAAGGTAGTACGTCTTTTTTTCGTCCTTAGACGATTCACACAATACCGTGCACAACAGCTCCTCATCACTGATCAGTGCTGGCTTATTATCAACCTACTTAATTGCACTTGACGTTTGAGCGCGGCTCGCCTAATTGTAATTGGTCAACAGATTGCACACGACCATATCGGCCACGCTTCAAAGATTTTCATTCTCGCCGTCTTGTACTTTTGCTTTCGAAAACCCCCCTGGCTCCACAACGTTGCCCTATTCGTGCTCCCACGGAATCTATTAGAGTAGATTTCGGACATAGCCATGGTTAATATAGTACATAAGAACACGTACAGATCTCCCCCTTTTATTGATAGCAACTCACCGGAACAGCTGGACGATCCAGAACTCCGTGGCCGATATATATAAATAATCTAAAGGCATCTACGCGCGACACACGTTCAGAACTTTGGCGCGGCGTCAATTCTTGACCGGTATCCAAGCGTGCGAAGGCACAAAGATGCGTCACTCGGCGTGCCAAGGAAGCTTTGATCACGCCGCGACACCGGCGACACGTTTTCGACGAGTTGTACCTTTTGATACGGCTTCACGCACATTGCACTCGCTAAACACATTCACACGGCGTCGGTTCTTGGTCGGTATCCAAGCGCGCGAAGGCACAGAGACACGGCACTTCGGCGTGCCAAGGAAGCTTTGAACACGCCGCCAGCCCTTCCTTTCGACGCGTTGTGCCTTTTTCCTGCGACACTGCACTTTCGTAAAATTTTCCACGTGTTCACAACGGCAAGTCTCAACAATACACAGAGTCTTCAAAAAACTTCTTCGGCGAATGATGACGAACGAGTAGAAAACGTGTTGTCAGCACGCTGGAAAACCGCAGCAAAGGCTAGCAAAAACGGCAAATCGTATCCCAAGCGAGTGAAGCCCGGTGGCTTCACTTGCGGGAGCGGCAAGCGCGATCCAGCAATTCATTGAGATCAGTGGAAGTAACCTAGAATATTGTACTTCAAAAGATCAGAGCTGACATTTGCGCGTTCTCGCTGCCTTTTCTCGCTCAGATAATTGTCATGTGAAATAATGAACTGTGGGCCTTTTAATGGGTTTTGGGTATTTAGATGATTATTTGCTTTAACATTATTCCTAGCACAAGAATAACAGAATAAATCCAGTTTTTGTCAATATCATAGAGTTATTATAATGTACGTCCGCAAAACATATAAATAAACGCCGTTCTCACCCTAACAACCCAAAGACAGAATCTGAGTCAGACAACTGAAGTGTGCGCGTTTTTTTACAGCAATGCTTTAATAGGACTTTATATTGCATCCAGTGTTTGACTGTTTGTCTACCTTGATAACGGTGTTAGAGATTTTCATATGCTAAAAATAAAAACAACATATGATACCTTTCTCGAAAGACTATTATGGTTAAATGGCACATTTTTTCTGATTGTGGCGTTAATTGGGGGCGTGCATTGCCGTGATTTGTATTAATAACAATAATATTAAAATTCAGATATTTTAATACTCCATTTTTTAAACTCTAATATAATTTGTTGCTTAAGATCCAATTTCAAACGCGTGAACAAATATGACGACCAAAAGTGTGCTAATTATCATCACTGATGCCAAATGCAGCATTTTTAATTGGCAAGTTAGAAAATAAAAATAGCCTAAAATCAATGAAAACGTTCTCGCTAATGTGAGAAATCCATGTAAAATTATAGGAATTGTGGGCAGAGCATAATTTGCTATCAAAGTGGCGACTTTTGGCAATCGGCAAGAGTTACAAAGTCGCCGCCAAAATCCTTCCAGATCAAATGCCCCAAAATAAAAAAATAAAAAATGAACCAAGAGTGACTTTTTTATTATTACCAATCTTTTTAAAACATTTAGTTACTTTCATTTTTACATGCCGTCGTTTTGCCAATCTCAGCCTTTCCAGTTCGAAGGAACGCCTACCCGCTTGCACGTCTGCTCACTGCAGCACGTCGCTGGCGTTAGAAGCCGGTGAAACAGTTGCGAGTATTGGTATTGCGTATACGAGTGAACCCAAGCGCTGTGCGTTTGCAATAGCGCGTGCGCGGAGCCCGATATTGCGATCTTTGATCGGAGCATGGTGGTGAGGTGCACGCACAACCTGGGGCACGCAACTCTAATGCGAATGCACAGCACTTTCGCTTGCTTCTGTACGCAGTACCAAAACTCTCGAGTAAGGTACAATCCCTTACCGGCTGCAGCACTACGTTGGGACAGTGAAGAGTGTTGTTTGCGTTCGGAAGTGACATTTCGAGAGCCATGATTGCGCGCAGTTCTGCCGTGCCCAGTGAACAGGAGAATTGGGGAACCCTCACTAGAGAGCTTTCCGTTTCTGCCGCGGGAGGGCGAGCGTCGAGCTGGAGACGCGAATATAGACTCGATCGTGCAGACTAAAAAAAAAAAAAGAGCAAAACGTCTCCTGCACAAACCAAACTCCATGTACCGTTTGTGAAAAAAATTTTAGATCTTTATACCATTCATTTTTTCATTTATATTTTTTATTTTAATTTATTTTTACTTCATTATTTTATTTCTTTTTGTTTTTATTTTATTTCTTACTCCATATTGTTATTTATTTATTATTTTCATCTAAAACCAGCCGTCATGGTCAGCATTTTGCATTCAAACGAAGAAATACGAGCATGTGTACATACTTGGTTTGCCTTCATTTTACTGCCGAGTTTTCAAAATGTAAATAATCAATTGGGTAAAAAAAGAGGACCCAGGACTTTACATATAATCTTAACATTTGTAATGCTTCCAGCGTGTCACTCGCTCGCCTGCTAGGATGCTCGTTTATAACCACTTACAGAAAACATTTTGTGGTAACAACTAGTGAAGTTTAATGGAGTTGAGCTAATATATAAATAGCCATAAAATAATTTATTAATGTTGATCTTACGCGAAACGGGGACAAAATTGAAGAAATCTACATCAGACAGGCCTCCCATGAACCCGTGAAAACCATCAGTTTCCACTGGTTGTCTCCCCATTCGACACAACTCGGAGCAAATTCGAGCCAGAGCTGGCGACGTTCTCGACCGAGCAGAGGCAGGCGGCACTGGAGCCCCACCCCTGAGGCCTTCTCACCACTGTTGCACTGGACACCGAGAGACATCTACGACTTGAGGTCCGTCGCAGTCACCAAGGAGCCAGGCATCTGCAATCCTTCCGTGCCTTCATTCATTTCCTTACGGGTTGATGCGCTACTAATGCCCCCATTTCCGTCCGAGCCAACTCTTCTTAAAGAACAAATGTGCCCTTCGATGCATTTTGTCTTTTAAATATGGGACTCAGGTATAACATTAACGTTTGTTTATTTGACGGTGCACATTTTCCATCGGAAACAATAAAAAACGGCGATGACTAGGCTTGTTTCGAGCCTTCGTGATTGTATCTCTGGGTAAGACGCCGGCGAAGCACGCCTTTCCTCTAAACCGAAACCAAAAACTGCGAATTTGACTCTGTTAAGAATGTCCTCCACTCCGAGTGAGACGGAATCACCCGGAGCGGGAGCAGCGCTTGCCGCCTTTTTTGCCACGCGCTTCCGGTGGGTCTTTCATATTGCGGGAGACTGTACACCTACGTGCCGCCAAATAAACGCGGAAAAAACAAAAAAAATTTAGCGCAATATTTACGTCGCGAGAGTCATTCGAGCTATCTGGAAACTTGCCTCTATCTCTGGGGTCTCAAATTAGAGCTGCATGTACACGGATGCGACCGGAGCGCATCCAATCAAGATTAGACAATTTTGATAGAAAGACGGGCTGCATGCGATTGGTCCCTGCTCAAGTCCATGCGCTACGGTCATGTAAACATAGCCCATGTTTCAGAATCGCTTCCAACTCAAAATGAGTTTGCCGACCCAAGTATCGTGCTACTAAATCTTTGTTTTGGCAAAAGTTCCTTTTTGCAAGATATGTGTCCTACTCCGGCAAATAAAAGAAAACAATTTTTGCGAGTTACGTGCCCCTTTAATGGAAGTTGCGTACGCAGTCCCCCCAAGGTACGACTACGTTCCTTTGAACAATGCTCTTAATAACCGACCGACTGCGGACGAGTTCCCCGCTTCCAAAGAACAGTCGTGCTTTCGCCGGGCATCTCATCGCACCCTGCGGAGCAGCTCGAAAGAAAGGGTAACCCTAGCTCTGATCTGGCAGTGTGTAGAAGCGAACGAGTTGCGACAGTGCCTTCCGGTCAAAGAAGGCCTGGGCCATTGTCCTGAACGCGTGGGAGTAACCGCGCTTCTCCGGAGTCACGTCAAGCGCGAGCAGTCCATTTTGTCCGTCCAACTCCGTCACCCTCAATTCAAAGTCCAAAGCCTTATCCACCTGATCCGCAAGGTCCCAGCTCAAGTCCGACATTGTCTTCTCCACCGTCAGCGGATCCGGATCAAACGCTTTGGCACGAGCCTCGACAGACACTCGGCGACGCAACGTCCACGTCCTTTTGATCGGGTGGCACTCTACGACGAGCAGGGTACGTCCTCTGGATCTTGGCGCGGCTGCACTGTTGGACACAAAGTCGTTGGCGATGCCGGATGCTGGAGCCGGTCTTACGGTGGAGCTGTCCGATGGAGCGACTTCGTCACCATTGGGAGACGACTCGGTGTTGGTGGACGGGTTCGCGTCGCCCGACGGGCCCACGTTGGGTGACGGGTCCAGGTTGGTGGACATGTTCACATTGCGTGACGAATCCGCAATGGGCGACGGGTTCCTTTTGGACTGCAGGCTTCCGTTGGACGACGGGTTCACGTTGGTCGATGAATTCGCAATGGGCGACGGGTCCGCAATGGGAGTGCTGGTTGCTTCTTTTTCTCGGTAGGCCACTCTGTAGTTTATGCGGTATGCAATGAGAAGCTGCAGGAGAATGCTGCAAACCTGAAAGGATGCAAAGATGGCCGATCACAATCGCGGCTCCTGAATGTCGCAATATCGTCATAAATAGGTTTGACCGCATGGGATGCATTACAAGAACAGGTTATTATCGAGTGCTTACCTTAATCAGCAAGTTTTTGAAGTAATTAGCTACTACTAGTGACATCCAGAGGTCATTCAAGAGGCCCCTTATGCAATGTTAAGGTTAAAGAATCTGGATTTTGTCCTCTCACACCCTAGAACCTCTCTAGAGTAAAATCTGCTTTGAGATAACCTCACTACAGTCGAACCCAGTTATAACGAAGTCGACGTGATCTCGAAATACGTTCGCTATACCCGTAAGAGGGATTAGCCCAAAAAGTCGAGATATTTTGCACACACTACACATCATGGTCACGCAGCACATAGCATCGGCTTTCGTAATCGGCGCTGTTCTGTTTTTGCATATTTGAAGTGCAACAGAGCCACGATAAAGCCGCTTTACATTTAATTACGATAGAAGTTACAATCGCACGTAACACGCTTGGCGAGTGCGCTCTGTAACACGCGTTGTAGCACGCAGCGTAACACACGTTGTAACACGCCTCAAGGCATGCTTCTTCTTCCAGGAGCTTGTGCACTGCCGGGGAGCTCACGCAAAACAAGGAGCTTCGGATGTGCACCATGTGTGCTCACTACCTTGCCACAACTGGACACCATCGAAGAAAGGCTAAAAGCACAGGGTCAAGAACTTCAGTCGTAAACCGGACAGACAGCAAAATAAAAAAAGACGGACAAAACAACAAAGAGTCTCAATTTGTTGCTGTTGTTTTGTCCGTTTTTTTTATTTTGCCGTGTCTCCGGTTTACGATGGATGGACAGCATTTCGTGAACATGGTACGTAGGTACAATATCCACTTTCAACAATCTGCAAAAAATAAAAAAAGGAAAAGAGAAACTATGATTGAAGGAAGCTCAACAACCTTTAATCAGTAATGTGATTGGCCTAGGCCAGGTTTGGAGCACCTTTCGGAGAAGCCAAAACAATGCTTTGGAGCAGCAGGTGTGGCCTTCGGAGCAGCCAAACCAGTGTTTTGGAGCTGCTAAGTGGCTTTTGAAGCAGATATTCTTAGAAAAGAAAAGGAAGGGCCCTTTGTGTTGTGTTGCGATGCGTTGTGGTGGAACTCGCTGCTTGTGTTTTAACTGCTCGGTCATCCCACAAGTATACAGTGCTGTAGGTGTTGCCGAGCAATTCCAAAAAACCGCTTGCCACCATTTTACTGGTTCCCGACGTGCCAGATTTTTGTTTAAGCAAACGTAAAACAATGGATTACAAGCGTCCCGCCTGGTGTCTGAAATCGAATTCGCATGCACGTGAGGGCAACTTCCGCACTTGCGCGTGCTCGAACGAGGCTGCACACACTAGGGCTAGACTGCTGCAGGAGGTGTAGGTAAATCAATTGCGCCTATTCTACCAGATTTTAGTACGGAGGGATTTAATCCATAAAATATAAAAAGAAGATGGTCCCCGTTCACACGACAGAGTAAGGGTACCTTAGTAAAGAGTGTTGGGCATCAGACTGGGAATAAACGGAGGATGAATGCATGGCACTGGCCAAACACTTTGTATTGGCCCAATCGTAATGTGAATAGCATCAAGAAGCAAGAAAAGCCTTTCTAGATGGCAGATGATCCCAAGCAGCACAGATTTTGGCCAAGCAATGGCCACTGTCTGGCGACGGTCTTTTGGCCAGTGGCCAAAGAGTGGCCATTCACTGGCCAATGCTTGGCCGATGGCTGATGGCCAGTGGCCATTGGCCAATGGCCAGATAAAGGCCAGTCACCGGCCAACTCTGTGCTACTTGGGGAAACAGAAGGAGCTGAAACGAGCGGTGCGACGCATCGTTTCCAAGTAAAAGGTTCATCTAGGAACCATTCGCCGACGCATCCGCGTATGCTGTCCCGAAATATGTTCACCATCTCCCGATGCATTTGGCATCCTCGGAGCGGCATTGTGGCTGCAATGGCCAGGACAAAATTCTAGGCAGTATATCTCAAGAAATGGAGAGAACCGATAAAATGTTGCTTCGAAGGTCCTTACCTAGTTTTTTGGAGTTGCTCTTGTTTTGCTTTGTGATCGCCGGCGGCAGGCGTCGAACGAGCTAGCTCTAAAATGAGGTGCTTCACTTCGACACTTCCGAAAATAAAACGTTCAACACCACACGCACTTGGAGAAACATATGCCAATGCGCAGAAGTCCGTTTGATAAGATTTAGAGCTCGATGGCGTTCCTGGTGTACGCCATTGCATCATACTTTAAGTGGGTGTAATTTTGATAGACACATTCAACGAAATGCACAATGACCAAACCTGCTAGCGTGAGTATATGTTTCTCGCTAACGTATTCCATCACGTTAATGTTCAGAATTAATCCGATAATGGCTACCTAGAAATATGAAATTTGTAGTTCATGGGTCCGAGGCAGTAAGCGTTAAGAGAGGTTGGCAAGCTCCCATTAACATAGGCCCTACCTTAGTTACTAAGAGTATGGAAGCAAAATTTTAGCATCCATTTCTTCGCGCAGACGTGGCCTCCTTTATGACAGCAGCTCATGAACACCAGTCTTTTGTCCGTGAACGCGAGAAAAGCAATTTTAAAGGGGCGATGCAACGATATTCCGTTGAAATGTTTTTCAATTTACGCGAGCTTACTGGCACTAGTGGGACTCGAGGATACTCGTACGCAAAGCCACTGGCCAAGAAAGTCATTTGTTGCGGCGTCATTTGAAGGAGAAAAGTGAGTGTTTTCATTCTATCTCTCCTTCGCAAAACTTGATGACGTAGCTGGGGGATTGCAGCATCCTCCAGCGACGATATTTGAATGTGGCTCATAGATTGGACCCGAGCATTGCGTGGGCACTCCATTTGAGCTCATGATCATCGATAGCTTGCAAAGCCCTCGGGTAGTGGCCCGCGTCCAATCGCTGCAATGACGACAATAGCCGAGCCATAACAATGTCTAGAACTCGGCGTGTGTCCTGTGCGTTGCCAACCCAAATACCGTGGAAGCCAATACTGGCAACTCCCGCGGAAAACGGGCGAAAAGTGATTGCAGCGCCCCTGGCGAGCTCGGAGTCTCCGCTAGCAGACAAATTCTCCAAAATGCATTGGTTTTGCCTATCTCCGTGCGAGGTGACCAACGAAAAAAAATTGTCACGGACATTCGCTGCTTTGAAAGTTAAAAAATGGGTGCCAGCTCATGAGTGAAGGACATTCTCTTCACGTGGGAAATATGTTACAGCTTTCTGGGTGCAATTTCGGAATTCTCTCGAAGAAAACATTCTGTCACAACTTATGTAAGCCAAGCAAAACACGAATGTAAGCCTTTGCGCTGTTTCGTGAAAAAGGGAAATGCATAAACATTTAAGAACATAGCTTCGTTTCAACTTTATTGTTCTTATCAGTCAATTCGTTTTGTCGTTGCAATTCCCATTTCTCATGAATGTCATGCTTATAACCGTTTCGTCGAACAGGCGAGCTGGCTATTCCCGTTAAGATTGTCTCCGGATGAAGAAGCAGAAGTCAATTTCGAACCACATACGTTACGGCGATGTCAGTTTGCTCCGAAAGAAGTCGTTGTGCATATGCAAATCTGACGCGATTATAGATTAACAAAATCGGAGTTACGAAAAAAGCAGACTTCTCGCACTTGCAAAGAAAGAAGGGGAGAGCGTCGTAGCCCCGCGAAAAAAAGGTGATTTCAGTCACGTTATTTACAGTGCACAAATTCCGATTATTAGCGCGGGGACGACCAACATCTTCTGCTTCGCTGCTTCTTTACTTCTACGATAAAGGCCGACACCCGTTGAACCGTCTCCATTCTTTCCACTTTTGAGTCGTCTTTCTTTTATATTTTTCAGGCGACGCCACTCTGCCGCGTTATTTCTTCCTCCTGCTTATATGTTGCTGTGTATATTTTTTGTTTTCTTTTTGCTTTATTTTTTTTTTTGCCTGATGTGGAAACCATCGCGTATCCTTGCTTTGTTTGACTTAGTTTTTACTCACTTTCCTTCGCTTCGGCGCTTACTACCCCCGGTTCGTCTGCGCTAGGCCCGGGCATTTTGAGGGCCGTCTGCAACTTTGCTGTTGTTGTTGTTGTTTTCTTCCACTGTCGTCTGCAATAACCTCCTATTTTCGCCTTCGATTGAGTTTCTAATCCAAAATCGTCATACGGGCTTTTTGATATTTATTAAATATATTAAGAAGTGTTAAGCTCGTTATACATTTTTATTCAAATTTTATTTGTGTACTCCGGCCGGCACGTCTGCTACGGGTCATCGTTTGTTGATCAACCGGCCGCATTCGAGCATACACCAGAGCATACTTAGAGATGGCAGGCATGCTATGTGCTGCCTACCATTGCAAGAGCAAGTTTGTGCGATGTGGTGGAAAATCTTTCTTCTGCTTCCTACGTCAACCTACGGACACCTACGTCAACAAGTACTTGAATGCACTTTTAAACTGCTTCGTCAAGCGAGTGAACGAACAACCCGCCAAAGTCACTGGAAAAAGAAACTCGAAAGCAAAAAAAGGTTACTCACTGCTAGCACACATAGAAGATTGCTGCCTGCGACCAAAACATTTCTGCGACTTTTTTTAACCGGGCAGTGTGAGCTGCACTACGTTATTTATTTCCCCTGTTTTGTTTTTAGTTCGTACCTACGCCGTGAAAGCAAATAAAGAAATGTACAACAAGCAGCTGAAAAAAAAGGGACGCTTTCTTCTTTTTTCATTAGTTTCGCCTGTTGCTTCCGCTTTGTTTGTCGTGAACTCAACACCGGTGGCGACCACCAGCTATTCATTTGCTGCTTTCCATTTTTCTTTTTTTTTTTTCTATAAGCGCCGCAACGATCGTCGTCGTTGAAATAGATTTTTTGCTAGCTTCTTTGTTTTATTCGCCGTTGTTTGCTCTCTTTCCCGTTTCTTTTTATTTTCGTCGGGAATGGCGACACCATTTTGTCTGCAAAGTTTGGTAAGTGTTTGCACGGTCATTTTTATCCTTACTTTTTGTTTTGTTTTTATGCTCCAGCAGCTCGTGCGCTTGCTCCGGTAATATTAACATGTCGTATTTGCATGTTTTAATGCTTACGACGTAGTTCGAGTAGCTAAACGCCTTTTTTCCGCTTCCCAGACGCGTTTGAAACGCATGTGATCCCCTGAGAGGCGTTTGAGACCACTAAATAAACTGCTCTATCTTTGTTTATGCGCGCGTTGTTATTCGAATGTCGTTACAGTTGTGATCAATGGATTCCGCTTTGCAAGCGGATTGACCGTAATAAATTGTTTCTGCTGTTAGGGTGACGAAACGGGGCTCGTAAAGCGCGAGGACGTCGCGCAGCCTATACTTTTCCATTGCGTCGACTGCTTCCGTAGACTCCGAGTCCGCTAGAGGCGCCACTGTCACGTTCGCCGCCGCTCCTATGGGTTTTCGGAGGAGTTTCCAGTATTGGCGAAGCTATATCGTATTTGGCCAACCCCAGAGCATGGCTATGATCAACATTGGCGGCATAGAATCGGCTCCAGATCACGTGGCCGCTTGTTCTGGCAGCGAGTTGAGGGGGTAAATGCTGCTCGTTTTTCTTTCATTTTTTCCGCGACTTGAATCGCGCAAGGTGAAAAACGAAAGGGTGTTTCACAGGCCCTTAACGTCAGGGATTTCTTCTAGGCGGTATTTGCGCAAAGTACAAAGATTGTTGCATTGACCGTTGAAAACGAATAAAACGATTTCCCAATACTGCCTGGTACTTGGGGGCCGAGCTGCGTTGGAATGTCTCACGTCGGGGGCCCATCGGGAGTGGCGCAGGGTGCGGCAAGCCCGATGGACCGAGCAGCGCCTGGCACACCTCTTAGTTCTAGTACACCAGACCTCGGGCATTCCCACTTGGTGGGTTGACAATGAAGCTGGTACCACCTAGCGACGACGATCGTAGTTACGGTACCCTCGGCCATTCATGGGCCCGTGATGTCCAAGCATGATGTCACAGGAAAATATCCCGAGACGCATCGCATTGTTTCGGTGGCCGATTTCAAGGTGCTCGCCAGAATCCGCCGGTTAAAACCAAAATATAGTCGTCTGCCGAAAATACGAGCGTGCGATTATCGTTTACGGATATCCTAGGTTATATTTCACCCGTTTTAAAGTGTTCCAGGGATATTTTGAGTTTCAATTCCGTACCCCAGGGACCTTTATGCATTGGGTCATGACATTCTCCAGCCCCCTTAACTAAAGGGACTTTAGCTCAAGGTAGTACTACCTTCCCACTGCCCTGTGAATGCAGTCAACAAGAATAGTAAAAACCCCAGAAAATGAAACACTCAAGGGTCCAAGGAGAGAGTGCAACTATAGACGGTGAGAGGTGAACAATGTGGTACAAGTTCTCCTCTAGCATGCCTATCATCGTGCTTTGGCTTCGTCCAAAAGTTACCAAACGTACAAAGCTCACACTGGAGGCCCAGCTTCTATCCTTCATCTGTCAACCATGGTCAAGTAATATGCTTTGTAGCCTTGACTGCGTTTTAAAGCATTATGCTTTTAGAAAAGTTGCTACGATGATAACGTGACATCGGGGCACACAATGACCTCGTGTCACGTCACGTTAGCCCACTTTACATTGTGCAACCTGTGGATGGCGTCACGTGACCACGTCACGGAGATGTGTGACACGATGCTGCGCCACTATCCGTTAGGTGACACAAAGCACTGCAAAGTCCCGTCATTCTTCCGCCCAAGTCCCGTCATTCTTCCGCAGTCTCACCTCCCGCGCCCAGACCAGCGCCGACGGGTAGTGGACCAGTTCCGGACCGGACATGCGGATGCGGGCTCGGTGCATGTCGCTCCCGACGCTCCGCTCGACGAGCCGCTTGGCCAACGGCGCCTGTAGGAGGTCCGCCACACCCACGGGTCCCCCAGCCATGTCCTCCGCCGCCAGGGCACACGACACCGCCAGCTTCTGTGTCAGCTCCAGACTCGCCGACGCCGCCACGTTGTGAGCCAGGTTCAGTGGGTCCTGGACAACCATCGGGCCATCCTGCAATTACCAAATGCCAGCACGTGTATGCGCAGTGTCTGCCACTTTGCCCGTTTGCACGCGGACATTAATTCCGTCCTTTTGGATAGAAATAAAAAGCAGCAACTATTTCGACATGCCTGTCAAAATATCTCAAATATTATTTTGACACCTACGACGTCATTTCCGTAAAACGTCAAAATAGTGGCTTCATTATTTCGATGTCCCGCGTTAATGCAGCCGTCGTGGCGGTAGCCATTAACCAAGGTGGTAGCAGTTTCATGGTTTTGCTCTGTTTAGTTTCTGATGGTGTTGTCGGTGTTGCGTCGATGGAATCACGTGTTGCGCGCCTAAGAAGTTTCGGTCCTAGTTGGCACTGTCTTATTCGACTCGGCAGTTGATCCTCTCCCACGTGACACGCCCGGCAGTCATCTCCGAGCTTGCATGCCATTTCTGCACACACGTAAAATTTTGAATCTAGAACAGAGGCAAGCTGGACATCCCTGTGTCTTGCCTGCACGTAACAGATGTAAGTGCATGTCACAAAAACTTGAAAGACCCTAAGCACTTATGAGTTGTGAATGCGAAACCATGAATATCCAATGAAACGCCGCGGAGCTTTGTGGTGCAAGTAATATTTTTGAGTTGTGGCAGAAGCACCACCGACGATGTGGATGATGGAGGTGACGGCATGTTGGTTGGCGTCGAGATGAGCAGAAGCCTCCGAGCGCGTGCCAACGTGTCCGTTTTAATTGGCGTGGGGCCCGTAGTGGCATGGGGTTGTGGCGGTTAGTTTTATCGTCGTGCTGGCGGCACCACGGTGTAAGAAAGGAGGTTAGGTGAAGACAGTCCCCATCCGGACCCCAGCGAGCGCGCAACCGGTTTTCGTTCGCCTCTTCTCTCTCTCTCCTAGAGCTCTTTCCCGCGCTGCTCCCGTGGCGCTATTGTCAGGGGGCCCACTCGGACCACTCCGGGGGCCTCCGTCAGCTTTGCCTTCCCGATTGTTCCCGCATGTTTTGATGGCAGAAACCGCCTCTCGTTATTCAACTGCCGAGTTTCTGATTTCAAAATGGGCAAGAAGTGCTTCGTGCCGAACTGTGGTTCTGGGTACCGTTCGTGTAAGGAGAAGGCCTCCTTATTTAAGGTGCCCACAGACCCTGATCGCCTCGCATTGTGGGATCGTGCAATTCTGCAATATGACCGCAAGCTGCAGCCCGGCGATTGTGTGTGTGAAAAACATATTAGTCCACACCTGATTTCAAGGACCTACCATGTGGAGCACGAGGGGAAAGTGCTGTTGGACGCACCAAAAAGGTCAGTGCTATCCACGGAAGCAGTGCCATCGATTTTCCCGAACTGTCCGAACTACCTGTCAACGTCGTCCAAGCCACCTCGGAAAGCACCGAGAAAGCGACCGCTCGCTACCCACGTAGCATCCCCCAAGCGGCGTTGCTCGCTGAACGTGTCGCAGAGTGAGTCCACCACAGTACTTGACATCACTCTACCAGTGGAACCTGCACCGGCCTGTTGTAGTGATGACCCAATTCAAGGTGTGGGAAGAAAAAAGGAAACCAAACCAGTGGAAGTGTGTTCCCTTTATCCTGTGCAAACTGCAACCGATGCACTGGAGGAGGAAAAAATGTCTACAGAAGGTGAACAAGGTGAGAACCTCTCAACAACTACAGGCCCGTCCCTGTTTTTTACGGCACTCTTTGCGACTGCTGAAGATGTGGTACTTCCGAACAGCGCCTGGGGAACCCACCTGACAGACGCTTTTGGAACAAAAACTATAGTGTTTTCGAAGCTGCAGCCAAGCCGGATTCATGGAGCAGAGCCGTCGCAAGCGAAGACGATGACCGTGTCGTGCGATTTTGACAAGCTTCGACTGAAGACATTCATCTGGGGTAGCTGCGTGGACCTTGACGACAAACTTCAAGCCTCCGAAATCACGAGCACTTCAGACCTCACAGCAGCACTTCAAGTGTTCGACGACCTCCAAGCTTGCGAGGGAGGCCCAGTGGGGGACAACTACCCAAATCTTCATCCTGAATGCGCCTACATTGATAGGTGGGGTGTCTGGCGTCACATTCGGTGTTCCTTCTACACAGCTGGCACTCAGTGTGAGTGTTGTTTGCGGCTGCGGGACACATTGCGAATTCACGCTTCACGCAAGAAGAATGCCAGTGGGAAACGCACGAGACTTCTTCTCAGCCCTTCCAAAAAAGCCAAGGTTGATACCTTACGCAAAGCCAGAATATCTGTTTTCAGATCGAAAGTGCGACTTTTGAAATGGAAAAATAAGGTCAAGCAAGAGCTGTCAGCATGCCGCAGTAAGCTAGCCTCACTGGACGATGAGACAGTTGCCTCCGTTGCAGCAAAAGCCAACCTGCCGGAGCCACAGTGCCTCGTTTTGAAGGCGTGCATGGCTGCAAGTCGCCAATCAAAGCAAGGGAGGAAGTACACCGATGACTGGATCCTTCTTTGTTTGCTTCTTCACATCCGTACGCCATCGGGCTACAGGTTCCTGCGAGAAAGCGAGGTTCTTCCATTGCCTTGTGTAAGGACAATAAGGCGCTACATATCTATGGTGGGGTTCGATACCGGCTTTGACGAGAACTTCTTTGCAGCCCTCAAGAAGAAGTTGCTGGAAAAAAACGAATTTCAACGACACGGCATGGTTTTCTTCGACGAGATGCAAGTCCGGAAAGCGAAATATTTGAGCTCAAAAACTATGTCATATGCCGGCCTTAGCGGCGATGGTGACAGTGCCACGTCTGAAGAGCTTGCTGACCACGCCTTAGTGTTTATGTTCTGCCCGTTTGGCGACAGTTATGTCCAACCGATCGGCGTTTTTGCTTCCAAGAATGCGTCAAAAGGTATGCTAGTGGCGCAGTTGCTGCTTCAAGCGATCGTCATGTTGGAGGAAGCAGGAGCTAAGGTACACGGATTTGTGTGTGACGGAGCCAGCACGAACCGAAGCATGTGGAACATTTTGGGGATCAGTGGCAAAATAGGGAACTGCAAAAATTTTTTTGAACATGCCAGTGATCCATCTCGGAAAATCTTCGCGTTCTCTGATGTACCACATCTGTTCAAGTGCATACGGAACAGGCTGAAGAAACAGAGGTTCTTGAAAAAGGGTGGAGCTTGGATAAAGTGGTTGGATTATGCGGCAGTGTACAAGCAGGACCTGTTAGTGCCAGCTGGCTTAAGGGTTTGCCCTAAGATCACCAGCTCTCACATATACCCTTCAAATACCGAGATGATGAGAGTGAAACTGGCCACACAAGTTTTCAGCCGTTCCATGGCCTCCGGGATGGAGTATTACAAGGAGCGGAATGTTTCCGAGCTGTGGAACTGCGATGCAACTAAGGAATTTACACTGTTTCTCAATGATTTGTTTGATGCGATGAATCACCGTTTCAAAAAAGAAGGAGTGACGTGCCAAAGCAGTGATTTTGGCATGATCATATATGGGCAAAAGTGGCTCGACGAGTGGGAGCACGAGCTGGTCAACAACGCGATTGTGAAGGACATGTTCCTAACAAAAAGCACGGGTGAAGGCTTGAGAGTGACACTGCAGTCCACAAAAGACATGTGCACCTTTCTCACACAATCCTGCAACTTCGGGTATGTGCTAACCGGAAAGTTCAACCAGGACCTCATTGAACGCTTTTTTGGAAAAATACGACAAGCTGGGTGTCAAAACGACCACCCAACCATGCCAACGTTCCTGCAGTTGTACGAGATGTTGTCTCTTTACAGCCTCTTAAAGCCTCCAATGTTTGGCAACTGTGCGGTGGTTGAAGGAGAGAAGCCAGCTTTAGATGTTTCTAATTTCAGAAGTCTTTTTCGCTCAGGAAGCCAGAAGGACAACGTTGACTTTGTGACGGAGGTAAAAAAGAGGTTGGATGAATTTATTCTGCAAGAAGAATGGGAATGCGAAGACGTTGCATCCACACTAAAGTCATCGGTGCCAGAGGTCTCAGACTGCATTGTTTATTATTTATCAGGATTCCTCAGCAGGAAAATGACAAAAATGACCAGCTGTGACTCTTGCTTGGCCGCATTCACTGTGACGAGGAGTGATTCGGCAGAAGCTGCCCTGACGAACTGCAAGAGCAGAGGGGGACTTGTACACCCTAACATTCACTTCCACCGGATTTTGAAATCTGCCGAGGAGTTTTTTTCGAAGAACACAGATAGACAAGACGTTTACTGGGGCACCATTGATTATGTTCTGGAAACCTGCGCCCTGTCATTTCCATGCGGTGAGCACAAAGGGGACGTCATTTCCCAGATACTCCACTTTTATGTGAGCATGCGCATGAGGCAGCACTGCAAGCACGTAAGCTCCTCGCTGAAAAAGGAGGCGCAAAAAAAGAAGAAAGAAGCACGACTTTGTGCTAGCTGAAAGAACTGGCGACTGATTCATTTTTGTTTGGTTTTGAAAAACGTGAACTTCACGAAATTGTTCACTCACCCATTTCTGCAAATGTGCAAACGTGTTTATCTATAAAATATGTAGCTTGCGTTCACTCATTCCTGGGTTGTAATGGTTCCATATGTTGAATAAATGTTCCTGTTCGCTATAAATTCAATTTAGACCTGAAAAGGTTTGACCAGTTTCCAGTACTTTTACTGCCTCCATTCTTGAAATCTTGGTAAAAAGGTCATAGAACATGTTACAATACCATAATATTTCGAAAGTATGTATAACTCCCCTGTTCACGACTTTTATGAGTTTAGACGGGAAGGAAATGAAAATGTTGTATTTTAAGTTCTATACTTATCAGAAACGGGGCTGTGACAGAAGGGACCTCTGCGTCACAAGGAATTACAGCGTTTTCGCCCATTTCATGCAAGCGAGATGCTTCTTGTGTCGAAGCTTGAAGAAATAATAAAATTAATAAATACGTTTGCAGACACTTTTTGATAAAAGACCACTGTGTAAAGAAGGGAGCGTACTATTAGGTGACCAGGTTTTATTCGCTGACCATCTTTGTTGAAGGAGGTACGAA